TATGGAGCGCACCGCAGCGTTGTAAACTCGACCCTTGACAGATAAACTGATGTCAGGCCTAGGCCACAGGTGACGCAGGTTTACAAAATCTGCTCCAGCCTTAACAATCCGGATGGAAACATCATCTTAAGGAGGGTCGAGAAGGTATGGGGGACACCTTTGCTCCACAGGCACTGCCATAGTGCCTGACGATCCATAGAGTCAAAGGCAGCTATCAGATCAAGAGACACAACCATTGTTCGCTGCTGGAAGCAGTATCGCTGTTCCAGAATTTGTTGGAGGGTGGAGATATAATCGATGCATCCACTTACAGGAGGGAACCCAGCTTGGTTTTCACGGATCTGCCTCTCCCTGGTTTTAGTCAACCTTCGAAGTATAAGGCCAGAGAGCACTGATGTTATAGCTGACAGGCTGATGTCACGGTCGTTTTCGCACAACATCCGCGTAACCTTTTTGAAGATAGGGATAACCGTTGAAATGCACCCTTCTCCAGGCACCTTCTTGTCGTCCGATACGGTACCAATAAGCTTTGTTGGATGGGTCACCAAGGATTTTCCGTCTTCTTTGAAAAGGGCTGGGTACAGACTCCGGTCCTGGTGCCTTCTCACGTTTCAGTACGGTTGTCTCGTACCTTATTTCTTCCGAAGGGTGATCAAGGCTACCATTCCATTCGTCCGTGTGTATTATCTCGATCGGCTGTGCTGCAGGAGGCCACCTGAACTGTTCTTCGAAGTGCTCGACCCATCTTTCCAGTCGGCGATTTTACGAGTGAATTAGTGAGCCATATTTTTCACTTGTCGTTTCGCTGATCGCTGCTTTTCTAGAACCAATCGATCGTATCAGTTGATACAAGGCACGGCTGTTTCCCGTAGCAAAAGCCTTCTCTAGCTCCCGAGCTTTCGATGTCCAACAGAGCTCTCGGTCTTTCCTTAGACTCTTCACTATTTGGCGTTTGAGGGATTTGCGTGCGCCGTCGTACTCGTTGCCTGCTTTGAGGGTTTTCCGTGCGCCGTCGAACTCGTTGCCCGCTGGTATAGCTTTCCTGACATCAATCATGGATAGCGATCTCGATGACATCCGGTGGTCTTGTGGTCGAATCGGAGAGGTCGAACAGACAGCACTGAACGCCGCTAAATAGCTCCTTTCACATTTTTTCACGCTTTATTCACATGCTTACTGCCATCATAATATTTGTTTACTGTGGAGAGTTTTTGGGCTATCTCAGACGGATACTGTTGAGCTATGGTAGTTCTTCGAAGGCAGTGGATTGACATGCTTCTTGCTGACTTGCGAGCCCCTGAAGGTAACCGAACTCTCAGGCTTGCACGCACCATGGCGTGATTGGAATCAAGTGGTGTGCCCCAGAAGGAACGTCAGTCTAGAATTGTGGCTCTCCACCGGTGGTTGATGGCCACGTGGTCTAACTGGGTCCACGGTCGATTTTCAGTTGGTGGCCACCAGGTTACGCGATTCGAACGTTTATTTTGAAAGTTAATGGTCAGCACACCGCTGAAGGAGTCGATCTCCGTTGTCTATGCGGCGAGCATCGACTCCGAATCAACCGCCCAGATGTGATTTCAAAGAGCTAAGATGGCCTACTTGAGCATTCTCATATCGCCTACCAGTATATCACAATGTCAATGCTTTTTGCCTGACGAATGAGCCCGGATAGCTCTCGATAGAAAGCATCCTTGTCCGCCTCAGAACTGCAGTCCGTTGGGGTATAAGCCTACAATACAAACAGGCACCGCTTTCTATACCGAGAGACATTGAGCTTGATTGAACTAGATAACCGGACGGCGCAAAGATGACTGTTCACTGGGACCCGATCCAGCAAAGGTTGACTAAAACCAGGGAGAGGCAGATCCGTGAAAACCAAGCTGGGTTCCCTCCTGTAAGTGGATGCATCGATTATATCTCCACCCTCCAACAAATTCTGGAACAGCGATACTGCTTCCAGCAGCGAACAATGGTTGTGTCTCTTGATCTGAAAGCTGCCTTTGACTCTATGGATCGTCAGGCACTATGGCAGTGCCTGTGGAGCAAAGGTGTCCCCCATACCTTCTCGACCCTCCTTAAGATGATGTTTCCATCCGGATTGTTAAGGCTGGAGCAGATTTTGTAAACCTGCGTCACCTGTGGCCTAGGCCTGACATCAGTTTATCTGTCAAGGGTCGAGTTTACAACGCTGCGGTGCGCTCCATATTACTATACGGATCAGAAACCCGGCCGCTGCGCGCCGTGGACGTCAAAAGACTTTCAGTGTTTGACCATCGGTGTCTTCGGAGCACTGCCGGAATTCGGTGGGAACACCGGATCAGCAATGGTGAAATACATGAAATGGTATTCGGATGAAATAACTCACCTGCGATAGGTGGACTGGTCATGTGGCATAGGTTGCGCCGGCTTGGACACCTGCTCCATATGCTAGTAGATTGGCTTCCTCGAAGTGCTCATTTCGGAGGACGACGCCTCTGTCTGGGAAGACATGCAGAATGACGGCAATGACTGCAATAGTGCAGGCAACAACGGGCAGGACAATCGGTAGTTTTGGGTCGCAGTGGGTCATTAGCAGATCGAAACTGGGTATCGCCTCTAGCCTGCAGAATCCTCCCTCGCGTTCTTTTGACCAACACCAAGGGCCGTCCTTTCCAAGCGAAGGCGAAAATGTCGAGTAATAGCTGTTTTACCCCGAAAAGGAACGTAATCATGGAGCATCCGTAGGTGGTTGCATCTGCTGTATAGCTCGTAGGTTCTCCGGGTCAGGATGATGACCAGAGGCATCGAAGGTGAAACCGAGACACTCCACTCGTTGCATCTTATAGCTCGTAGGTTCTCTGGGTCAGGATGATGACCAGAGGCATCGAAGGTGAAACCGAGACACTCCACTGTTATCAAGAAAAATTGACATTTCGTAGGATGTAAGCGGAGTCCGTTGTCCCGAATGCGCAGCAAGCTGGCATTGGTCCGATCTAGAAGCTCTTCGGTTGGAAGCAACAATCAGCATGTCGTCAAGGTGTACGACCACACCAAGAATGCCAGAAAGGATGGTGCCCATCAACTGTTAGAAATTGTTGGGGCTGTTTTGACGCCAAACACGAGGCGGATGTATTGATACAGCCCGCGGTGTGTTGATGACCAACAGTGGACGTGATTCTAGTGCGACTTCAACTTGAAGATACGCTTCAGCAAGGTCGATTTTCACGAAGAACTTTTCACCGTTCAGAACGGTGAATAGATCGTCGGGCATTGCTGGTGGATAGTGGTGCTGCTGGAGAGCGGCATTAATATCAGTTGAGAAATCGACATATGCGGGTGTCACCGTTGGGTTTCTTCACCACGATGATCGGCGCTGCCAAGGCGGAGTAAGATACAGGGAACAGAACGCCTTGTTGTTTCAGCCATTGAAGTTCGGCGTCTACCACCGGGAGGGAAGCGTACGGAACTGGTCTCTTTGGACGGAAGACTGGCGTAACACCCGGCAGGAGGTAGAGGACAGTGCACTGACTGAGACCGGATTGGAAAACAACTGAAAATCGCTTGATAAAGCCAGATGCATGATCCTTATGCGCCATGGGAGACTGAACTATATTGCAAATTACGCTGATTGGAATGTTGGCTAACCCCAAGTAGTAGTTCCCCGGAAAGATGCACAGCATTGGAGCTCACCGGAGAGTTTTGGCTCTCCACCACAGGCACTGCTAGCAGTTCGAACGGTTTGTCTGATCAGAGTTTGCCCGAACGTGCGCGAAAGCTTCTCTGAAATGATGCTAATGTCCGATGCAGTGTCCAACTGCAGACGGGCTGGATGACCACTAAGAGTGACTGTGAGCTACTTTCGGCGATCAGGGGTATTGATGTGGAAAGTAGCCATCAAACTGAGGGAGGAGCCAACAGGGCTGAATTTGGTTTCGGACGGACGCATGCTGGTGGCACTGAAACACCAGAGGCCGCATACATCCGTCACTTACAATACCCATCGTTGTGTCCCACGGACGTACATTGGTGACACCGATGCTGCTTGTAGGTACTGAACTTAACAAAGCGCCAGGCTCCACAGTGCCAACATTTTGAAAGTGGTGTCTTCTTTGGGTCTTTGTTTTGCTTCGGACCAGAATACTGTGAGGCTAATTTGGTCGCAGGGCCAGACTGTTGCGTAGCCTGATGGATTGCATGGGCTTCGGACCGCCATGACCCCCAAGTTGGACCATCTCGGTGTCTTGCTTCAGGTTAAGCAATCGTTGACATTCCGAGGTGATGGCCTGCACCGTCGTTGATGGGTCATTCTCGATGCGGCTGAGGAGTCTGGTGCAGATTTCTGCATTTTTCAGGGATGAAAGGTACCGACTTGAACTAGTCTTCCGTTAACGATTTGAGCTTCAACCGTTCGCATTCCCGGTTCACGATGCCGGAATAAGTGAGAAAATGGTGAGCAAGTGTAGTTAATGGCACTGATCGATCGACAGAATCGAAAACACCCTTGGGGCTAAGAAACACCAATATTTTGGGTCGTCTGTACATGTGCCTCTGCTCTACGACCCAACGTCGTGTGAAGATGCGGTCAGCGTAGGCTTTTCCCCAGTCCTGTTTGATTCCCACTAGTCAATGTTTTGCGTGCCACTGTATCAGTGACACCAGAAGTCATGTTACAACGGCAGTCAAACAGACACTTCTTGGGTTACCGCGACTACACTATTTGAAAATTGGTGCTACTATAGACTCACTCCAGTTGTCTGCATGACTTGTTCCCCCCAAATAAACGCAAATATGTTGGTCGTGTGCTGGCTGGGAAACCCACCACCATACATGAACAGCGGAAGGGAAGGTCATGGGGACCAAGAGTGTGATATTCTTGACTAGAGATATGCGTACTGTCGTACTCGACCGCATAATCAAATTGGTCTTGCTTACTAACATGTATGCTTTCATGTGTCAATTTCCCTTCTTTTCAGATATCGGTGTTGACTAATAGCACGGTTGTTTGATCATGTGGCTCACATCAGTCACATGGTTCCCATCACTCTTGTGGGTTCCCAGTCTGTCACCTTCAGCCTACTATGGATGCTAAAAAGTCTTCATTTTTTCGACCGAGGTACTTTTCTCAGACAGTCTTCTTCCTCTCTGTGGTCGTGCTCATTGCAACTCAAGCACTGCAGAACGAACAGGCTAACAGTCGGTGGATCGTTGGGAAGTAGGTTATCCTTATGTAGCTGGTATCGCAATTCATAACGTCACTATATACCGAGATTTAACATATGATATTGTTTCTGGCCTCTTTTGTTTTAAAGTGAACAATGCATGGTGGCGGCACCCCATTGCGTCCGAATACCACTGTCATTCAACGAAACGTGCCTTGGTAACCATTTGCCTTACCGGCTGACCGCTCCGCATCCTGTGGTCGAGGATGTTTCACACTACCAGCTTCACGTATGGACGCCCCTCCGGAGTATTCCAGCCTGCTGGGATAAGTTACAGGTGAGTCACATCCTTGCCGCACTAACTTGGATTATGTTTTGCTCTTCTTGCCATCTAGTACATCATTTTCGGCTTGTTCAGCTTCTTGCTTGCCGTAAGGCGAGATTCAACTCACCATATTCTCTTCCCTGTTTTCAGTTCTTACTGTGTTCCGTTTACTTTCCGGAATGCATTGAAACACAAGACAAATGGCCATATCAAGGCTATCCTCCTCAAGTGAAGTCCGCGAATGCCACAGGGGACTCTGTGTTCCCTCCTGCCGCCCTGTCTGATGTTGATGTTCATACTCATTCACGCGATAGTTTAGCCGTCCATCCTCCTCGTGTTGTGTTACCCGAAGCAGAAATGTGTGAGGCGGTACACAAGGCGTGTCCACTGTTGCTTCGTTTTGGTTCGCCCGTGGTTGTGAGTGGTGATGGACTGGAGGTGGATGCTCCATTATTGCACCCGCTTCCTCGATTTTTTGATTGCTCATTATATCCTCGTGGATGCCGAAAGGTTAGTGAATCGTTCCTTTATATCTCAGAACTTCCACATAAATTATTTCCATGTCAGCAGTAGCTTTCCCCAATTTTATTTGTTCGAAGACTACTGAGAATTGGTCAGTCATTGATTGGCAACTTCAAGTTCACTGTTCGAGCGCTTCTACTTTCTCTTTCACAGAACAAGCTCACTTCTCGCCTTTTTCAAAACAATGAAGTTGATTGTGAAGCTCCGCTTGTGACGACGGCTGTCCGTCAGAATTGGTAGGTTATAACACTCTACTGTTTGTTTATACCTCAGTTTGTGCTTCTCCAAACTGTCGACTATTTACGAAGGCAAACAGATGGAGTGTGCTCACTCACCCACCTATGTGGGTGGGAACTCTGAAGTTTCCGATCGGTTCGTGTTTACCTATGTGGGTGGGAACTCTGAAGTTTCCTGAACCTATGCAGAACATCGTGACACGTAGCCTACATTTGGAAACTGTGTTCGTGTTTGCCGTGTAGCGCATCTTCTGTTTCGTGCATGTGAACTTATGTGCCAATACCCTCTTGCATAAGTAATCTTGTTTTGTTTTTGAAATTATTATTCCCGTCCCTTATAATAGCCTTACGTGATTCTCCCACCGTCACGGTGGGTACCGAGTTGCTCCATCGAGATAATAGTTTTCCCTTAAAAGTGGCTGCCATTAAAGTTCCCCTACCCACCAAGGGAGGATGCCACGGTAGATGACCTTGTTTGGTGGCTAGTGCATATCAACTGTGGCCTTCGGGAGCGCTTTTTGGACGGTTAAGTGCTTAGGCGTAAGTATATTCGCCTTTTTGGATGCGATAGTTCGGGTACGTTCTGCGTACGTTCGCGTTCGTCTTGTGTGTCAAACAGTCGGAGTTAACACCTCAGTATGACTGCTGATAGGTTGAACTAATAATGCATTTCCCATTCTGATAGGCAGCATGACAGAGTAGGATGAACTGGTCAACCAAACAGATAGGTTTACAACTTCTTCACTTGGTAAACAAAATCATGATTAGAACCAGTGCTCCAGTTTGTCATCATTAGCTGAGGACTTCAGTAGTGCGTCAACATCGTGGTGGTCCGTCATTTTCGTCGTTTATTTTCGTGAGGTTCGAATGAAGATGACAAACTGTGAAATATTTCATCGGTCAGTTGGAAGAAGATCGGAAGTCTGGTGAATATTCTCCAAACCTTTTCGGAAAGATTTTTTCTGCACTGTTGAGAGAAAAAGGGCTTCGCTGCGGAGTTATTTATTGGAAGACACCAACTGAACAGGAAACAGGGAAGCAAAACTCTCATGTGCATCTTGTTTATAAAAGCTGAATATCCTTCTTCTCGTGCGCGTTGCGCTTTACTTTCCTGGATGTAAGCGAATTTTTAAAGCAATTTCACCAATTCCCTAATAAATCTCACTTTTCGATGGACGCGAAGCGTATTTACGAGAAAACCCACATACTACTCGCATGCCACCCCAGTAGTGTCCACCGTTACACTAGTAGCAGTATTTGGAAACTTCATAATTAATGAGCTGCCTCCAAAGTAATTACCTTCAAACCCTGGAGCGTTGCATTTTCCATCATTTTTTGTAGTTGGGCTATCGATTATTATTCCCACACATTTCTTCACTACAATTTCTCCAAACAACAAAGCACCTGCATCCCTTGACTTAAACGATTGAAACTCGTAGAATGTGTAGCCTCGTTGATTAATATTTCCTCGAGTTCGGGCAACTAACCAACGACCAACGAGAGTCCTATCAATCAAATTGTTGGGGACATTGCAGCGCCCGGGTGCATTTATGCGGTTCGGCCTCCGCCCAACAGCGCCCAACAGTTCACTCACAGCTGCTGTTGCACGCCTCGACCGGAGAACTTTTGTCCATCTGGGTGCACGCGTGACGTAATTTGTGAGGTCGGGGTACCGAAATGTGGATTTAAGAAAAAACATTTGGTAATGAACCTGTTTAGCACTTGGAGCGTTGCATCCGGGGTTTCCTTTCTCGGTTTCCCATGTTATTCTCTGCGTGGCGTGTGACTTTTTATTGATGTATTAGCTGCATTGCGCTCCACTCTGTCCTAAGTGCTTACATTTTCCGCTTCGAAGCAGTCATTTCGGGAGGGAATCGTCAAACCTTCTACACTGTTCCTGTATTTGATTTACAGTATGGGGTGACTTCTTCGGTGAGATGAGCTGGCAGTTGGAGTGCCAGATCACGGCGTTTTCTGATGAATCCCGATAGGACTGCAGCTCTGGGATGCCTTAAGAGAACTTCTTTCTTGTCCTTTTCAGGATACCTGGAATTGAACGATGCAGTTTTCCATGTCAACGACCGCATTTCCATCCGGAGCATTACCGCCTCGCTCGCTGGCTTACTGGATTTACTGCAGTAATATGTCTTTGCATCAATGTTGCAGCACTTGTGAGTCTTGGCGGTAGTTATCTGACTTGAATGATCTATATTTTCAGACGCAATACACTACCCATAAGGATGCTGAAAATTCTTTTTTTTGCGTTGGCTGAGTTGGCCTTCGTGTGAGGAGTCTTTTTTCTGTTTTGTGTGATTACTGCAATGACTGTTGACATGTGTGGCCTTCGGTTTTTCCTACTGCGTTATTTCAGTTATTTGTACTAGGTGTGTACTGTCAATTTTTGCATTAAAATCTTAGTTCCTTTAGATAGATAATTTTCTATATGTCGAGATTTGTTGCTCCTCACCTCGTTAAAGCGGTTGCCCACCCGCGGATGGTCAACTTGATTACTTTCGCCTTACAAGAGTCCATCAGTAGGACACACAGTTTTATCACGAGGTCCCTTTATCTAAAGTTCGTACGTTTTGGGATCCCAGTTACTCCGCTGGTGAATTAGATTTAGTAAGAGTTTTCAGCAACCTTGTGAGTAGCTTCCTTTAGTAAGACCCAGCTGAAGCGTTCAACATAAGATTTTGGACTCTATGCAGTGTGCTTTCCCGGGAAGATGTCTAGTTATTTGATTAGAATGTTCGGTTTCTCAGTCAGCTCAAGAGAAGACAAGCTTCGGACGTCCAGACTGGGGTAAATGATAAGCGCAGAGTTTTCATTGCATATTATGTAAGTACGATCAGGATTCTGAATCAACAGTAGAGAACGGAGTCGGTTCATGCAGTTCAGGCGAAACGTCAGATGAGTCAAATGAGAGGAAGAATCCGAACGGAAGTTACCGTGTATCGGAGTCACGAAATGGCAGTAAGTGATAGTTGGAGGTAGAAGTTCTAACTGTGAAGATGCACAGGATGTTGATACCGCTTGGGGTGATACCAGGTGCGAAGTGTTATAAGCGTTCTTTGGTTGAAACTTGAGTGTCAGGTCGCTTGTTTACTACATAACTAACGGTATCTGGAGGCGTTTTTGTGATGAAGGCTCATAACACAGTAGCATTTTCCGTAGACTCCAAGTAGAATGATGTCGAAGAGCACGCCCCGTGGGCCGAGGAAACATACACGATAGGAGTTTGCCAGACTGGTGATATCTCCTCGAATGGCGACAGAAAGCTTACAACCCAATTGCCAAGCTCGACGAAAAAATCAACCAATAGTGGCAGCTCCGAATAACCGTCTGTGGGTACCGAACAAAGCTGCTAGACTTTCGCGCACCGCATCCTCTTTGGAATTTGGACTCAAAACGCCGACAGGGTGCGAAACAGGGAACTTGTACGTCAATATGACTACTTGTCAAGCGGTGAACGTTTCGAATGTTAGGGTATATTATAAAGAGGTTTCTTGCGTTTCTACAAATAGATGAAAGGTCCTGAATGTAAGACGAAACAGCCGCTGTTTGCCACCTCTGTTTCATTTTCAAGAGATCAAGGTGTAAATTCGGATAGTTTCCCACACGTGATTTTCAGCAGCGTGATTAGCTTCAACCGAATTTATCGGTTGGCATTTTTTATGACTTGTATACGATGTTGATGTACCCTGTTCATCAATGATCAAATGATTGCTGCCTAGTGTTTAAGACGATCTGATAAAGGCGCTTCACTTGTTGCAAATTAAACTCATTAGTTGCACGAAGTGACGTCACCAATTCGGTTCGGTCACACGTTCTCGTATCATGGATTTTTAATCATCCCAAAGCCATTTGTTTCTTAGCAGTAACGTTCGTTTGTACAGAACTGACTGTTTGTATTCTTCCTTTCTGCACTCTGTTGCTGTCCATCTTTAGCTGACCTTACGAATGCAACAGTCACGACGCATCGCATTCTGGACCAAGCTGGTGACTAGAACCAAATCCGATGCGCAGTGCTGTCACATCACGACCTCTTCGGGGTCTGTCACGAGAACGGGTGACACGGGTGCCAGTGGTGCAGTTAGTACACCACGTCGTGTGAAGTGGACAAAATCTGGTCGACAACTGCTCGATTCCAAATGTTTCTATCTACCATTGTTCTACATTCACTTGTTTTTCCTCATCGGCTGCTTTGGCTGGTTGATGCCCCTTCTTCCTGCTGGAATTGGAGAAATGATTGCTTGCCGTCTGGACGGAAGTTTGCGTGTAAAGGAACCTCAAGTCAGGTAAGTTTTCTTATCATGTGAATCAGTGAGAGTACATTCGCCACGGTCCGTTAAACATGTGACCTTTGCGCTTCTATACGGCGTGGGAAACCATCTGATTCGTGTGTAAAGGACTGACTGATATACTCCTATATACCTTAGCCCATTCAAAACCGGTACTGACCGTGGAATACCTCGTTATTCTAACTGTACTTAATCTGCTCTTGACCCGTGTTGTCGCTGCGACACATCTCCTATAGGTCACGTCCTCTCCCGAAAAGCTAGTTATGAAGCCTTCTAGTCTCCGGACTATCGTATATCGCAGATAGAGTTGTTCGCGTAGTCGAGGAAGTTGGTTGAACTTATCAAGGGACATTAATCAGCACCTGGTGCCTCAGTAGTTGCCTGTCCATGGAATTTCTATTTTCCAAGTTGTCTGCTTGTGTGAACATCTAAGACGGGTCGGTTTGAAAGCGTCACCGAGGCGTCCATCTCGTCTTTCTTCTTGAATCACTAGGATGAAAGGTACAGAGCTCGTTTCAATGACGTTGAACGTAGAAAAATCAATATTAATAAGTATTGTTGGGTGAACAGTGATAAGTAGAGTTGGGAAGAGTTTCAGTATCGTAATTTTCCGGTAGACAGCTTATCGTGTAGCTGTCCAGGTCGAGGAGGTTCGTTTAGGAGACTCATCCGCTCAAGAATCTAGTCGGCAAAGCAACGGGACCTGACCCGGAGTCCGAAACTGGCTCCAATACAGTGGTCGAAGTTAGTACACATACCCTTTTTATGTCGTGGGATTGCTGGATGCTCAGTGCAACCGCGACCACGTCTGACGGTATGTTTCGGTTGACCAACACTGATGTCCAGTAATCTGACCAACGCGAAAACCTGGCTCTGCATAATCATCATCATCATCATCAACGACAGCATGACATCAGTGCTCAACACCAATGCTTCACTGCCGTACAGCCATGACTTATTTGAAAGCCTTATTGTAAAGAAAAGAATAAAGGTGGATGGGGGAGGGACTTAGTGCTAGCTTAACACAATCATTCCGAGGT